CCCAACTCCACCAAGCTCGCGGTCGCGGGCTATGGCATCGTTGCTCAGGATATACTTGGCCAAAATACTATGCTCTGGCCCAGAGATCGCCTCGCCTCTGCGAGACTTCCCATTCGCGTGTTGCAGCAACTCGTGAAGACTCCATGATGGCACTTTCTTGACGCGGCAAAAAGGACACACAAAGGTGCCCTCGCCACGACCACGAAACCTGATGCCTTCATTGGAGAGGCCGAGTAGGATCTCGCTCTCCTCTTTGAATTCAGACTCGTCTGAATATGAGTTTTCGATCTCGGAGTCACTGTGGTCTGCCATGCTTGCGGAGACAGTTGAAGAAAGAAAGAGAAAGATCAACCGTAAAATTTTGCAAGTTCAGAGTGGAGAAAGCAACACACCGCACCCCCTTCTTATACGAAGCAATAGCGACGATTCGCATGGTAACGTCGACTTCCCTAGGCGCATATTTCTCGTCGATTTGCCTCGCTGTGTACCCAACGCGTCCATTCAATGGTGACCATTCGCTTGGCAGCGTCGAGTTCTCAAGGCGCGTATTTCACGTCGCTTGGCCTGACAGCATACCCAAAGCGTTCAAAAACATTGGAAATGCAACCGCCACAATAGTCATCAATTAGGAGTGCGATTCACACGTAAGAACATGCCGTACCCAACTGCGATGTTGTGGGCTACGCCGTCGAGATCGCGCCCAACGTCCAACATCAAGTGGCACAGGGCACTACGTGGCCGGACGATACTCTTTAAATAACCGGAAAACAAGTTCGTCATAATAACTCTTCCTCAATCAATCAAATTAAATTTCACAAAAAAAACCTCTCAATCAACATACATCCCGCTGCTGCGCCTCTCCAGCCATCCGGCTCACCGCCGTCCACTTGTCGTACCTCCATCTACGCCGGCAATCATGGCGGCGAGGCGGCACCCCACGTTGTTGACGGCGCTCCCTGTCAAGGTGCAAATTGAGATCGCCGGCCACCCTGCTGCAACCTCGGAGCGGTCCATGGATGACCTCCACAGCCTACGGGCGACGTGCTCGTCCCCTATTGATGCCAACTCAGTGCACAAGGAGGCTGTGCTTAGCTATAGACTGGACAAGGTAGAAGAGCAAATTGAGATTTTTTGGAAGCAAAGAGCCTATGCCAACTGGCTACAGAAGGGGGATCGAAATACGGCTTTCTTCCATAGATGGTGTTCAGAGAGGAGGAGGAGAAATGGGATCGGTAGACGCAAAAAGGAGAATGGGGGTTGGGTGGAGGAGGAAGCAGAGAAGCAGGAATTTATCGCTAATAATTTTGTGCAGCTTTTCAGATTGGGGGCCATGGGTGATACACACCAGCTGCTACAAGCCAGGGTCTCTGAGGAGATGAACACTGAGCTTGTGCGGGAATTTACGCACGAAGAAGTGAAACAAGCGCTGTAGTCTATAGGCGATTTGAAAGCTCCCGGCCCGGATGGCATGCCGGCCCTTTTCTACAAGCACTTTTGGGATACAGTGGGTGATCAAGTGTCACAAGAGGTGTTGGCAGTCCTGAATGGTGGTGCTATGCCACAAAATTGGAATGATACTATTATTTCTCTGATTCCCAAGGTTCCAAATCCTGAAAAGGTAACGGATCTCCTGCCCATAAGCCTCTGCAATGTGGTGTATAAATTAATTTTCAAAGTGATCCTGCCTGACGTTGTCAACCCAAGTCAGAGTGCTTTTGTCCCAGGTCGTCTCATCTCGGATAATATTTTGATAGCCTACTAGTTGACACATTATATGCTGAATAGAAGAAAGGGAGATCTAGGCTATGCTGCTATCAAACTCGATATGAGCAAGGCGTATGACCGGGTAGAGTGGGTTTTTTTAGCTGAAATGATGAGGAAGTTGGGTTTCTGCCAGACGTGGATACAATTAATTATGAAATGTGTGTCTACTGTCACTTATCGGATCGAAGTCAATGGGGGCACTATCGGAGGCTTTTAAACCAGAAAGGGGTCTCAGGCAGGGAAATCCTTTATCACCGTATTTGATTTTGATATGTGCAGAAGGTTTTTCAGCTCTTCCGAATAAAGCGGAGGAAGATGGACTGATTGCAGGGATAAAAATCTGCAGGAATGCGCCTAGTATTTGTCACCTACTTTTCGCTGACGACTCTTTGATCTTGATTCGGGCGAAAGGGGAGGATGCTAGTCAGCTTCGGAGCATTCTGGAGTTGTATGAGCAGTGTTCTGGTCAGATGATCAACAGGCAAAATCAGCTATCCTTTTCAGCACAAACACAAAATCAGTGCAGAGAAGAGAAGTGAAAGAAATTCTTGAAGTAGAGAAGGAAACTATGAATGAGAGATATCTTGGACTTCCTGTACATGTGGGGAGTTCCAGATCCGAGGTGTTTGCATACTTGAAAGACAGAGTGTGGAAGAGAATACAGGGTTGGAAGCAGAAATGCTTATCATGGGCGGGGAAAGAGATTTTGATCAAAGCCATTGCCCAGGCTATTCCAACCTTTGCTATGGGCTGCTTTGATATAACCAAAACCATGTGTGATCAAATTAGTGCGATGGTCTGATGGTATTGGTGGAACCAACAGGAGGGGAAACACAAAATTCATTGGCTAAGTTGGGAGACCATGATCAAACCCAAGAAGGAAGGGGGGCTCGGGTTCAGAGATATCCATGCCTTTAACATTGCGATGCTGAGCAAGCAGGCTTGGAGACTACTACAGAAGCCAGACTCTCTTTGTTCCAGGGTTCTTTAGGTCAAATATTACCCCGGGTGTACATGCTTAGAGGCTCAAGCACGACCCGGTATTTCTTACTCTTGGAGAAGCATACTCAGGGATGAATATAGACACCAGGTGTGTGGTCTGCCAGTGATTTGATGAAGATGGGGCACATCTTTTCTTCAAATGCAAGTGGTGTTACCTGGGCATGAACCGAGAGAGGGACTTACTGCTGGCCAAATCCTCTGCAAGGGAGGTGATCGAAACTACCATGGCTATGCGAGAGGAGGAGCGACTGAAGTGCTGCTTCGTGCTCTGGATTTGTTGGTTTGAAAGGAACCGCATTAGAGAGGGTTTACCTGCAAGGGAGCCGGCTTGGCTTGTACACAGTATTCAAGTGCAGTTAACTCAGTGGAGCTGCGAAGACAAAGGTGTCCCAACAGCTAGAAGAGGACGAGTGCAGAGATGGGAGAAGCCGGCCGAGAATTTTGTGTGAAAGTGAATTGTGATGCTGCTTGTCAGTCCGACACAGGCAACGGAGGCTGGGGATGTGTCTTGCGTGACTCGGATGGTGACTTCGTCATGGCAAGGCGGGGGAGAGTGGAGGCGCTGATGAGTCCGATGCATGGACAACTCATTGCGTGCAGTGCATTCATGATGTCCAAGCCGCAATAGATGCCGGTGTGGGTCATGTTGTTGTGGAGACGGACGCTGCAGAAGTGGTGAAAGCGGTGTATTCTGAAGCTTATGATTTCAGCACGATGACACACCTTGTCCAGGAGTTGCATAGCTTGCTAGTTGATAATTTCATCTCTTGGTTTGTTAAATATTGTCCACGATCTTGTAATAGGGTTGGCCATTAGCTGGCGATCCTAGGTAGTGCTTGAGATGAAGATCCAAATCTGGACTCCATTCCGGCTTGTATCCAGTGTGTACTCGCTGATGATTCAGCCGTTCTCGAGTAATGGAAATAGCTATTTCCCCTAAAAAAATTGATTTCCCACCGCGTCATGGATTTTTTCTATTCTTTCTAATAAAAACTCAAAATTGATTTCCATGCCATATGATATTATCATCGTAATATCTACAAAGCCTTTGTAAAACAAATCAACAACATGTATTTGTGAACAAACGTGAGTTGCTCTATATGATGGATTGGGTTTAAAAAACCCATGGGTTTATGGGTTTGGGCACTACGCTCCCAGACCCACACCCGTAGACCCACTGTGTTTAGCTTTTTCCCCATTAACAAACCCATGGGTAGAGACATTGACCCAGACCCCATGCCTAATAGGGTAAAAAAATCCATCGGGTTCCAGGTTTCAGGCATCCGTTGCCATCTTTAGATGCGCTCCCATACCTGGCACGCTAGCTGTCATGGGATCTTAACAGCGGCGAGCATCATGGTTGTGTGGGTCTCCGGTGGCTCGGACACTCAAAACACGAAAGGGACAACGATTTATCCTACTTCAAGCCTCTGAGCCCTACGTCTAGCAGTATAGTAATCTTCCTGTTAAGGAATGCCCAATCCTACAACGGTGGAAATCGGGAGAGTTTTATAGGGGATCGCTCGATGCTACCCTAGAGTTTGGCAGGGGGTTTCAACCTCGCGCCCTCCTCCTTCCCCTTCTTCCTCCTGACTAGCGTCTTCTCCTCTCCGGCAACCCTCGCCCCCGCCGCCGCCCACCGCCACGTCATGACGCGCTAAGGTTTCACCGGAGCTCCACGGCTGTCACCACCCCGACCTAGCACAACCGCCTCCACCATCACTAGGGCCCCAAAACCACCCTGCCGCCGTCCCCACCGCCTAGCCGGACTTCCTTTCTCCAACCCCTTCTCTTCTAAGCCCACCGGAGTTGAGGAGGAGGAGGACATACCTCGCCGATGATGAACTCATCGTCGCCGCCGGAACCCTAACAGTGGGGCCGCAGTGGGGTGCGGGCGCGGCCACCGGCTAGGACCTCACCAGAGTTGGGGCGCGAGTGCGGCCACTGGCGAGGACCTTGCCAGAGTTGGGGCATGGGCGTGGCCACCGGGGAGAGAGCGCGCGATCTCCGGGAGAAGAAGAGAGGAGGAGGATAAGTTGCGGTGGGGACTGGCGTGCGATGAGTTAAGCTCCCGCACACCTAGAACAAAGACAATGCATTTATTTCTGCTAGCCAAACTTCAAATTTGTAGACCTTTAGCGTCAATAATATCATATACTAAATTTAAGCCAAGAGGTATATAGCTGGTGGAAGACCATAGACGGTTCAACTATACTGGTCCAAAAGCTCATAAGTCATACCGCATGAACAGCGAAAGGTACGCGAACCGAGTGCGCACCATCTGACCAGGTGACGGCGCCGTGTCCGTATCCTTTGTTCACGGCGGCATTATTCCCATCATGGAAGGTCACCTCGAACTTGGCAGTGGCTCCCCTGTGTGAGAACACGAGACGCTCCGGCACCACATGCACCGTCAGGCCCAGCGGCGTCTCCACGGTGGCCTTGTAGGTGGTGTCATTGGACGACCCCACGTTTGTAACGGTAAGCGCCACGGTGACCACCTTACCGGCGTGGAGCCGTCGCACCGAGATGGATGGGTAGTTGACGCGCGCGGCAACAAGGTCTTCCGAGGGCGCGTCGGCCGGGCAGGCGAAGCGTGGGACGCCGGAGATCTTGCGGACGCGCTTGTCGTCGTAGCCGTAGTAGCAGAGGAAGTCGAGGTAGTCGTCTGTGGTGGTGTCGAACACCAGGCCCGGGCTGAGTGCCCGTAGTGGGCTCACCTCTCCGGCGCTCATGTCGTGGCCTGTAGCCACGGTGCCGGCGCTGCTCGCCAGAGGCTCCCCGAGGTTGTTCCTCGACGTCGCTGCGTCGTCGTACCGACCAAATTAAGGGCGTTAATTTGTCATAATTTAATTATTTAGGAAGGGAAATGCTCTGACCAACAAAATATAGACCTGTTGTCATGAGAGCTGATCGGATCATGGACGGGCTCCAGCCAGGGTGGGCAGATTTGAGGAAGGCGGCAGCGCCGGCAACGTGTGGACAGTCCATGGAAGTGTTCCAGACTTGGATTGCGAACGCTGAGGGCTGCTGCTTGTCCTTGTCCATGGACGGGATCGCAGTTGCAAGTATGTCAACTCCAGGCGCCATCACATCAGGCTGCCAACACAAAGGTATATATATTAGCATGATGCGAGCAGGCAAGTTACTCAAAGATAATGGAAGTGTAAATAGACCTTTAAGATGGACTCCGTGAGGCTACCAGGGCCACGCGATGACAAGGATGCTGCGACAGGGGCCGGCTTGAATTGAATCCCTTGACGTCCACGGTCGGGACTACGGAGGATGGTCGCCGTCGGTTTCCTAGCAGATACATACATAGACACAAATTTGGTCATTATTAGAGGAGCTCCAAAAAGTTGAGATAGGAATACATTTTGTTTTTTTAAAACCAAAAAAATTATACTGCAGCTAGCTCACATTGTAGTGTTGATGTAGTGGAGGATGTGAGCCCCGCGTCGTCGGCGCTGACTTGGGAGAAAGGGAAATCGCCTGTCGACAACGCCGAGTCCTGCCCGTTGCCGTCGATGAGTACCAGGCCCCTCGCGCCTGCCTGCTCGGCGGCGATTGGCTTCACCCGCCGCGGCACAGATCTGTCCGTGCCGATGCAAACCACAATCTTCCCGGCCACCTTCCGCGCGTCCAGCGATCCTGGGTAACAGTTGCTGCATGCATGGCACATTTTGTGGTACGTCACATTTGCTTCGCGAAGCCTCATTTGTTTGACAGCATGCAACTGACCTCGCGTCGAACACGGTCGTATGCCTGGCTGCGACCTGGCGACCAAACACGAGGGGATACCGACCTCCGCTGAGGCACTGGTTCGAAAAGTTGATCGCTACTCCCTGCGTGCTGACACGACCAAATTAAATACTTATACCATAAAAGGTGCTGACACGGTTGATCTCACTACCGTTGCACAAAGCCAAAGGCAGCTAGCAGTGTCAGTCACACAAGGTGATTACCTTCACGACGGTTCCTTTGCCGAGAACGACGCCGGACTGGAAGGCGCGGTCCATGGTGGAGGCGGCGACGGTAAGGATCCACGGAGCCGTGTTGACGACGGTGTAGGGCTTAGGCCCTTCATTGCCGGCAGAGCAGACAACCAGCACGCCGTGCTGGTGCGCGTGGAAGGCGCCGATAGCGATGGGGTCGTCGAGGAACTTCGCCTGCTGGGGGCCGCCGCCTGTGCCGATGGAGACAGATATGACGTCCACGCCGTCTCTCACGGCGTCGTCAATGGCCTTGAGTATGGCGGAGCTTGTGCACCCGTGGCTCGAGCAGGCCACACGGCCACACGGCTCGCCGCCGCCCCGCCCTTGGCCGTGCCCCGGGCGAGACCGTGGTAGCTCGCGTGGGGCACGGCTGCGCTGGCTGCCGTCGACGCTGTGTGTGTACCGTGCCCATGGGTGTCCCGTGGCGAGCCTCCTGTCGCTGCCCCAGTGCGAGAGGCGTTTTTTGACTCTGTGGACGCCGAAGACTCATTGTCATCATGTTGGGTGAGGTCGTAGTACCCGGCGCCTATAAGCTTACCCTGACAGTGACAGTGTGCGCACACGTCACACAAGCATGCATGCATAATGTTATGTTATCACGGTCGCGGTGACAGAGAATATGAAGTAGTAGTAGTTATTTCTACTTGTTGCAGTTACTCTTGTTGAAGTCCGGGCCTTCCATGTAGACGCCGCGCCACCGTGATGGCACCTCCGGCATCCCAGCGTCGTTGAAGCTCGGCGACTCCGGCCAGACACCAGTATCAACGACGCCGCTGATGACATCGCCGGACGCCCGGCGGCTGAGGCGGTCGGGCCAGAGCCCAGACTGCGCGTCCAGGAAGTCCCACGACCTCGTAGTGTGCAGCTGCAGCACTCGATCCCGGAACACCGACACCACCCTCTCGTGCCCTGAGAGAGTGGTGGCCTCCTCCTGGGTGAGCAGGGTGGCAAAGCCCTCAAACGCGTGGTGGTAGCTGTGCCGCAGCCACAGCCTCTCCGGCTGCTCGTCGCTGGGGATTACGGACGACAGCAACTGCAGGTGAGCGGCCCGCACCGCCTCTGGGTCGCTGCTGCCACCGCCGCCCGTTGTTGCGCGCCCCATGTACACCACGTATGGCTGCAATGCATTGTTGTCCAGCATACACGATATCCGCAGACAGCAGGATTCAATTTCGTTCGTTGCTAGACAAGTCACAAGGCATTGCACGATAACAACTACGGCAGAAAAGAGGATCTACTCCGATCATTTGTAGGAGTATATATGGCTCGATCCTACCTCCTTGGTCTGGCCTGATTCAGCTGCTGAGAGCGGTAGCAGGGACACACAGGCGGTGAGGAAATAATGCACTCGGCTCATCATCACCATTGCTGCACACTTAGCGTCGTACGTGCTCGCAGCTAGCAGCCGAATAAGATGGTGGTTGGTGAGCACTCCAAGTATACAGGGAACTACATATGACTGGTCTACTTATATAGCTGGGGAGGGGAATATCTCCTCAGCTAATTTGTGTACGGCGTATATAGGCGTACCCGGTTTTCCTCCTGCACTAAGGCTTCAACGACAACGATTCTGCACACAGCTCGTCGACAAGAGGCTACTGTTCAATATTAGATTTGGTTTGATTAGATTCCTGTGCCTTTCCTACTCAGATTAAGTTTTTTATGGTTACAAGCTGTTATTTTTTAGAAAGGCAGCTAAACGCCACAAACACAAAACGTAAAGTTACCCATCATAAAGTAGGATAAGAACGTGCACCGTGTCATGCATGCATTATATTACTGGTCTTAACCACAGATGCGCTTTATCACACAATTAATTAAAAACGATAAAGAAAAAAAAGGTGCTCGTGCCTATGCTGTCAACCATTTCTATTAAAATTGATTGGGCCCGACAGATGATGGAGGCATGAATGCCGGTCTAGCGCGTACCATCCGGCGGTGATGGTGTAGACATCAACGCCGCACGGGCGTACCATCCGGTAGTGATGGTGGAGGCATCAACCCACAATAGGTGCACCAATGAATTTAACGTCAACACCATTAGCACCCTTAGAAAGTAAATAGCAAGAATCAAATCTAATAGATGATACATTGTTAGCCTTGTTTTTACGATATTGCTCTAAGTGCCCAACTTGCTTGCACTTATACCTCAAATAACAAAAGAAAGAAATTTCTTTGTAAAATAAAATTAAGGTCTTTGCTTTTACTTATAGCATTCTTTCTTTTACCTAGAAGAAAGAACTAAAAATAAAAAAATTAGGCAAGTACGATTTTTTTTCGAATCCATTCTATCAAACGAACAGTTCTTACCTTAACCGCCAAGCCTTGATTAATGAATCTACAAAATCCCTCAAATTGGATCTGACTAAATCCGAGTATTGTGGACATTCCCTCATTTCCATTCTGAGGCATTTGAATCTTAAGTTTCATATTTATAGAAGAAAAATTCCATTATCAACTCACTCTTCACCAATCCCTCAAACAACTATTCAGAGTTCCTAGAGCTCCTTGTACAGCTTGTTGGAAAATCCGTTATCAGACCTGATTCATCGCCCTTTGTTTTTTTAAAATAAAGGGTTTTGTTTTTAGACTTTTCTAATTGTTCCTGATTAGAAAAATACATGAAAAAGAAAGGAGGTAGAAAATTTTGTTGATTTATGGTTAAAGAAGAAAAACAAGAAAACAAGCCCCCTCACAAAGTGTGTCTTGTGAGTAGCAAAGGCAGCCTTGCCTTTCTTGGGAGTATAGGCCAATCCCTCTTTGTTGAGAGAAAACCTTTCATCTCGGAGACATTTGGGGGAAGGAGGACTCGTCCGCTTAGAAGGCTGGTGAAAACCGGCGGAGGCAAAGCCTTCGCCGCCCGACGATTGGGCCTCAAGAGGAAGCATGCTCTAGGATACCGATGGGCCTCCGGTGGGTCCAAAGCAGGGCCCAAGAAACAATGCAGTAGAGAAGGAGAAGGCCTGAGATGCCCCTAATAGCAAGGAGGAGCCCTAGAATATGCTCTACCAATTGAAGGGTAAAGATGTAAAAGAACTCTACCTTATACTGAGCGAATCCCATGTAAAAGAGAGAGACTCATGAATTAATGAAACCCCAATTGTGTCATGAGATCTGTTGTGTTGTTCGAGTAAGTGTTCACCTGCAGTGGAGATCCTTTGTCACTCAACTCGCTGAGACAACTTTCCCAACATTGACGCCCGCTGTGCTAGGCCAAGCAAAACCCCACTATGCCACGCAAAAGGCAAGCCTCCGCTAGTGCCCAAGCAGAAACTTCAACTAGAGGAAGGCCCAAGCACACCACTCATAGTACATATGCTAATACTTCATAAGCCCAGTTAACGTAGAAGAGGCCACCCTAGTAATCGAACTGGCGGGCGAAGGCGATCAACCAAACCCCAACCCTACACCAGAGCAAGTGCTCTAGCAGTTACAAACTAATATGCAAAGGGTTCGTAGTAGCCTTCGCCACAAGCCAAAGACAAATGTCACAGCAAGCATCGGAAGTCCGGCAACAACTAGCAATCCTACAAGCCGAAATACAAAGCTTACAGCCAAATCAACCCCATCGAACAACTCCAATCAACCCCAACCTGCGCCTTGAAGCCAACCTAACTGTCGCACCCAATTTTGCATAGCAAAACCAGGTACTCATATATGTGTGCCCAGGATGTCCAAACACACACATATATCACAAATTGTAATAGCATCAAAGTAAAGTACTTATTACACCGCTTATCTCATCACAATGTTAATACAAAGTTTGCTCAATGGCAATTATTACATACACAGCGGAATAACTAGCCCAATCTGCCACAGGGACTCCAACTGGTGAACATCTCCCTAGTAGTCCTGGACATCCTTCGGAAACTCTTCATACCCATTATCTGTTACCCATCCGGGATTTTCATTGGATGTAAAGCAAGTGTAAGCTCACCATGCTTAGCAAGTATATCAAAGGGATCTATGAGGCTCAAAGGCTTGACACGGTTTGACTGCGGTTTGCAATTTTAGTTGATCAAGTTTTTAGCATCCTGAATCACTACTTTAGTGAACAATCCCAAATTCCCAAGTGATATTAAAGTATAATCAAGTTTACATCAATTCCCATCCATCCACAGTAACCACTAATCATGAAGGATCCAGACCGCTCGTATCCATGAGCACGGTTGTTATTACAGGTCAAATATTTCTACAGAAATTGTACAACTTTACCCACCGAGCCATGATTCCTAATGCCGGGGTTTGCCAAGCCCACTACACCTCTACCTAGGAAGTGTGGTAGGGTTTCACTACGTAACTCTTAGCTAGTCGCACTAACAAGTCGTAAACTGCTAAGGTTTCAGCCGTCTAGCTGTATGTGGCCCTAGGAGTGGCACACGTGGTCGCGGCACGGTACACACACCCTAGCAGGTAAGGAAACATACCAACTAGTGCCCTCCTCTTGCCCTTATGGAAAGCTACAGACGAGCTAGTACGATCTAGTTAACAGGTTAAAGTCAGAGCCATATGACACTCAGGGTTGTACGACACCTCATGGGTGGCCGCTTCAAGATTAAGTCCTTATGGAGAGGCACTAGAGTACTCAACCCCGTACTCTAGCCCCCTAAATGTTGCTAAAAAGCTCCATTTTATTACATTGCATGAAATAAGGTGCAATGGCATTTCTATAAATAAACTGAACTTATTTTTGAATTAAAGCAATAAAAATATGAATTTACATGGTTACTGGACTGCGCGTACTATTTCCGGAAACTATAGGGACCTAAATGAATAAAAATAGGACTGATTAATAATTTATTTGAACTGTTATGGACTGTGGGTTGATTCACTGGAAACCGAGGGGCTTTTCTGCAAAACTGGCATGGCTTGACTGTGGGTTGACCGCACTGCTAACTGGGCAGCCACGTGGCCAAATGCGATTGGCGCGGTGCACCACGCGGCGTGGGCGCGCGCTGACGCGGCACCGGGGGCGGGGTCCATGGGTCCACGGTGGACCAGTCATGTATCGAACCGGTACGTTCTATTCTCAACTGTTCACGCACGATCTAATGGCGCAGGGTTCACGGGAGTTTCTCTGCCGGCTGCACTGTACCGCCGGCGAGCCTGCCATGGCCGGCGGTGAGGCGAATACGACGGCGAACGCCGGTACGGCGATTTCGGCCATCCCAAACCAATCCGAACCCACTGACGTGAAGCGCGGGACCTCGCGAACTTAACGGATGCACTACAGAGGGCGAGAAACACACTGGAGCGACGTCCTGTGGTGGCGCCATGGCCGGTGGTGTCTGGAGTTCACCGGTACGGCGTTCCAGTGCACTATTTGATGAATGGAGGGCATAGGAAGACGGAGAAGCTCACCGCGAGGTCAAAGGAAGGATCTGCGCCGTCCGGGAAGGCTCCGACGGGGCGGGTCGACGTCGGCGGTGAACTGGAGAGGGAGAGGATGGTGCGGGTGATGGTGAATTTGAGCAATCCGAAACCAAATCAAGGAATTGAGGTCACCTACGGTTGTGTCAGGTCACGACGGAGCTTTGGGAGTGGCGGAGCAGTGGGCTACGGGGCGGCGGTGGCGAGCTCGAGCGTGAACAGAAGAAAGGGAAGAAGGAGAGGGTCTGTCTCAGGTTTTATAGGCCGGACGGGGTGCGGTAGATGGAAGGGGAGCGGGAGGCGGGCAGAATTGGTCGCCTGCCTTGTAGGCGCGGCGGTGGTGACTTTCCATGCTTGGCAGCACCATCGTCGGGGGACGAAGAAGGAAAGGAGCACCGAGGGAAGAAAGGAAAGGAAGGGGAAGGAGAGCGCGGGCGCTGACGTGTGGGGCCAGTGGCACAGTGAGAGGGAAGGGAGCGGACAGGCGCGTGCGGGTGTGGTTGTGGGCACTGCGGGCCGTAGTGCCGAACTGGGCTGCGTGGTGCGCCAAAGCAGGCCGCGAGCAGCGGGCGCGCGCGTGGGAAAGCGGGTAGGAGGGGAGGCGCGTGGAGCAGGCCGCCGAGTGGGCCGCTGCGGAGCAGGCCGTGCGGAGGAGAAAGGAAGGGAGAAAGGGGAGGCACGGCTGGGCTGCCGAGCAGGCCAAAACTGAGAAGGGGAGGAAGTGAAGGGCCGGGCCGGTTCTAGGGCTAGGCTAAAAAGGAAGAAAAGAAT